GCCATAAACAAGGCAAACTTATCATTGGAGGTGATCTCAATGTACTGGGTAATCCGCTCTTAGATTCATCTTCTAATAAAAAAAAAACCCACCAAACTTGACTTTAATCATTTCCTACATGATCACGATTTATACGACATCTGGAGATGTCAACATGGCACCGAGAGAGATTACACCTACTACTCCCCTCCTCACCTCTCGTACTCGAGAATCGACAATTTCATCACCGACAAGTGGACATTACAGCACGTGAGATCATCCAAAATCGGAACCATAACTTGGTCAGACCACGCTCCGATCAGTATATCCTTGGACGATGATCTACGCTCCGCAATCCCACCTATTTGGAGATTGGATTCTTCACTTCTGAAAAACCCAGAAAACCAGAAGCATATCCTAGACGCCCACAAACTCTTTTTCGACACGAACTCTACCCCAGATATCTCAATCACTACACTTTGGCTAACATACAAAGCCTACATGAGAGGTATCCTCATACAATTGAAATCCCGCACAAATAGACAGAGATCCCAACAAATTGACAACTACTGACCTCCATCCGCTTACATGAAGCAATAAAACAAACAGACCCCAAACCCTTCCACATCCGCGACCCTAAATTTAGAAAGAAACAAACTACGTACTATTTTACTCCACAATTATGATACTAATCTTCAAAAAACTAAAACCAAATTCTATGCTCTAGGAAACAAGGCAAACTCACTCCTCGCTAAAATTGTCAAACAAAAGAGAATCAAAGCTAAAATCTCCACAATCCAACATCCTAACACTCACACCACATTAACTAATCCGCAGGATATAGCTAATGCTTTTGCAATATATTACCAGAATCTATACAATATAAAAGATGACTCAAATACAACCCAGCCAACGACTCTCTCCATTGGCAACTTCCTACAGAACATAAATCTCCCCCGCATTACCCCTCCCCAACTTGAATCGCTTTCTGTACCGATATCACATCAGAGATTAAGAAAGCCATAAACACTCTCCCCCTAAACAAATCACCAGGGAACGACGGCTATACTAATGAATTTTACAAGTCACTAGAACCCAATCTTACTTCTCACCTATCTGCACTTTATAACCATGCCGCAACCAATGGGGAATTCCCCTCTGACATGCTACAGTCCATAATCACTACTATCCCAAAACCGGGCAAAGACCCCCAATTCATACACAACTACAGACCGATTTCATTACTCAATACGGACATAAAAATATACGCCAAAATAATTGCCCTACGATTACTTCCATATTTACCTACGCTAATCCACCCAGACCAAGTGGGATTTATACCTGGTAGACAAGCTCCTGACGCTACAAGACGAATTATCTCCCTATACATCATCTTGAAACCAAAAATCAACCCTCCATCCTCCTATCATTAGATGCGGAAAAAAGCATTTGATCGAATCCACTGGCAATTTATGAACCTCACTTTACAAAAATTTGGAATAACAGACTGGATGCTCTCAGCGATCCTATCTCTCTACTCCAAACCCACTGCCAGAGTACTGACCAATGGCACACTCTCACAGCCTTTCTGCATATCAAACGGCACCAGACAAGGATGCCCTCTATCCCCCATAATTTTTGCCTTACTTATTGAACCATTAGCAACCAATCTTAGAAACGACCCAACCTTCACGGGAATTAAACTTCACCAACATGAACACAAACTTAGTCTTTTTGCAGACGATATTATCCTTATGGTTACGAACCCCTATAATTCACTTCACTCAATACGTACACATATACGCAGATGCACGGATGTCTCATACTACAAACTTAATGAACCAAAATCATCTATACTAAACCTGCACACACCTATTGAAACCCAAGCCTTAATATCCACACATTTTCCCTTTACCTGGGAAACACATAGCATACCCTATCTAGGGATCAAACTCACTGCAACTACTAACCAACTCTACGCAACTAATTTCAAGCCTTTATTGGAAACCATTCCTCAAGAACTAAAGTGCTTACGCACATCCACACTATCGACTCTAGGTAGAGTAGCAACCATGAAAATGTGCATATTACCTAAAATACTATATATATTTCAGACGCTTCCTATACCAGTCACCCACACCTTTTTCGCTAAACTTCAAGCTATACTAAACAATGGAACTCTAAAAGACCCAGATGCTCTATGAACCTATTACTACGCCCTCCCTCCAGAGGTGGAGCGGGTCTTCCTCACTTAAAATCATATTACCAAGCTGCTTTGCTGGACCAGCTCTTCTTCTAGTGGCACCCTACCGATGAGAAGATTTGGACCAAAATGGAAACCTCCTTGGGCCTACCACACGCAATAACAGACATACTATTCATACCCAGAGCAGCTCAACCTAAAACCCTACAAACACACCCCTGCATACAGGCTTCTCTAAATGCTTGGTTTGATTTCTCAACCCGCGCTCAAGGAAACACAAGCAATGTGAGAATCCCCACTCCCTTCTCATCCCTACACTTCCTCACCCCTCACTTAAACATATCAGCATGGAGAAGCCTCGGCATACTTCATATGAAGGATATTTACACAAACCACAAATTAGACTCCTTCTCTGTTATCCAGCGGAAATTTCGTCTTCCTGATAGGGAACAATTTACTTATATGCGCATAGCCCACTCCATTTACAAAACAAAAATACCATTTGAAATAGAAATTCCTGCAACCACACAGCACTTCTTTCAAAGGAAACAGTATCCTAAGAAAGGAATTTCGACTTTCTATTCACTCATTACCAAGACACAATTTACTACATATACCTCTTCCTTAATCAATTGGGAACAGAATCTTTGCCAAACAATAACCCCAAACATTTGGGAAAAAACATTCGCCATCACCTTTAAGCTTCCAAATGTAGTTCCCATTGGGAAACATATTTAAAAAATACTACATCATTGGTACTTAACCCCAACCAAACTATCCTTATTCTACCCTCAGCATTCGCATACCTGCTGGAGACATTGCGGAGAAAAAGGAACACTTCTCCACATTCTTTGGGCATGTAAATCGCTCAAATCGTACTGGAACAAGGTCTTCCAGATAATCTCCTTACTCACAGGATCTTTAGTAACTCCAAATCCCACCTTGGCGCTTCTCCACATTGGAATAGACACATTCCCTCTAAATGTACGCACCATTATCATCCACATTTTAGCAGCCGCAAAAACTAACATCACCAGACTATGGAGATCCATCACCATCCCATCAGTGTCCCGCCTCATATCTGACCTTAACCTCCAATGTGCAATGGAGAGAAGAATAGCAATTTATAATTCCTCCTTCCACAAATTTACAATCCATTGGTCGCGATGGTTAAACAACCCCAGATGCGTAATAACATGATTACTATCTGATATGAGTACAATACTTCCTACCCGTACTTCATTGGTGCTTTTCCTCCCCTCCCCCCTCTTCATGTTTTTTCTTACGTTCCTTTCCCCCCCTCAACCTCATGTTCTCCCTATCTTTACACCTCACTAGTAGAGATGAGCGAATCGAACCTGGCGAAGTGGAATTCGTTTCGAATATTAGGAAAAATTCGATTCGCGTCGAATCCGAATATTAGCAAACTTCGGATGCGCGTATCGAATTTTCCCCGATCGGCCGATTTCACTGTTCAACAGGTAAAAAGTTTTGGGCATAAAATTAGCTAATCTTACATAATTTTGGGGTGCTGAAAATGAAAATGACCCTAAAAAATGTTGATTGGCTCTAGTTTCCATGATATATTCACCCATCTAATGACGTAAGCCATTCAAAATTATGATGCAACTTCAGCTGCATATTGCGCAATTGATACTGGTGACCAATAGAAAATTGCATGTATACTGAGATGATGCAATATTAGCCTTTAATTGCATCACTTCACTGCATAAAAGCTGCAGTATCTGTAGCTGATTGTAGTTGGACAGCGTCTTTACATTTCGTTTTATGCTTATATAGGCTACTCAGTAATGCCTCGAACTTGTGTGAATAAAGCAGATAATTTCTGCTATATCTGCGGTGAAATAACTTTTATCTCACAAAAAAGGAGGATAACAGGAATGATTAAGAAAGCCTACAACTTGTATTTTGGCTGCAAGATAGGAGACCAGGACAAGAGCTGGGCACCACATATATGCTGCAATTCTTGTGGGACGGCACTGGAGCAATGGTTGAATGGAAAAAAGGCATCTATGCCTTTCGCTGTGCCAATGATTTGGAGAGAGCCAACAGATCATGTTAGTAATTGTTACTTTTGTATGGTGCCTCCAATTGTAAAAGGGCTAAATAAGAAGAAAAAGTTATCTGTGCACTATCCAAATATTCCATCGGCAATACGTCCAGTTCCTCATGGAGAGGGGCTACCAATTCCTAAAGCACCAGAATCCTTCGTGGTTGAGTCAAGTGAGGAAGAACCTGAAGCGTGTAGTCACGTGCAGTTGTAAGAGATAGCCCTTTCCTCGAATACAAGAGAAAAGCCAAGAGAAGCAAAACCGACACAAACTGAAGACAAAACTAGTGAGAATCCTAAGTATTAAAATGATTCAACTTAGCTTATGGCTATAATTTTTCTTGGTAATCCTATGCAATATATTATGCCATTTAGGCTTTGTTATGTAGTCAATATCACTTGCTTTATATTTGTGGAAAGACATCTATCTATATAATTATTGTGCATTATGTAGTCATTACGCCTATAGTAGAAAACTTTCCGTTTACAGAAAAACTAGAGCCAATTGACAAATTTCATTGTTATATTTGAACTCAGAATGTGAAATTCATTAAGAAATCGATCCTTTTGTTTCCAAAACTGGCAAAAAATAAAAATTTGTTGAACAGTGTTTTCATCCCTTCTACAGCCGGCAAAAAGTGTCCCTGCAGAGAGCTCCGCTATTTCTGACAGTTCTCTGACAGTTCCTTCACATTTACAGCAGTTGAAACATTGTATCTATTTGTTTCCATTTAGGATACAGATGTTTTTATTCGGAAACAAATAGATACAATGTTTCAACCGCTGTAAATGTGAAGGAACTGTCAGAGAACTGTCAGAAATAGCGGAGCTCTCTGCAGATACACTTTTTGCTGCACTGGAATTCTTTTTCATCCTCATCCTACTTCTTCTTCTTCTTCTTCTTCATCCTCATCCTACTTCTTCTTCTTCTTCATCCTCATCCTTCTTCTTCTTCTTCTTCTTCTTCATCCTCATCCTACTTCTTCTTCTTCTTCATCATCCTCATCCTACTTCTTCTTCTTCTTCTTCATCCTCATCATCCTACTTCTTCTTCTTCTTCATCATCATCCTCATCCCTACTTCTTCTTCTTCTTCTTCATCCTCATCCTACTTCTTCTTCTTCTTCTTCATCCTCATCCTACTACTTCTTCTTCTTCATCCTCATCCTACTTCTTCTTCTTCTTCTTCTTCTTCTTCATCCTCATCCTACTTCTTCTTCTTCTTCTTCTTCATCCTCATCCTACTTCTTCTTCTTCTTCTTCTCCTCATCCTACTCCTTCTTCTTCTTCTTCTTCATCCTCATCCTACTTCTTCTTCTTCTTCATCCTCATCCTCATCCTACTTCTTCTTCTTCTTCATCCTCATCCTACTTCTTCTTCTTCATCCTCATCCTACTTCTTCTTCTTCTTCTTCTTCTTCATCCTCATCCTACTTCTTCTTCGTCTTCTTCATCCTCATCCTACTTCTTCTTCTTCTTCATCCTCATCCTACTTCTTCTTCTTCATCCTCATCCTACTTCTTCTTCTTCTTCTTCTTCATCCTCATCCTACTTCTTCTTCTTCATCCTCATCCTACTTCTTCTTCTTCTTCTTCTTCTTCTTCTTCATCCTCATCCTACTTCTTCTTCTTCTTCTTCATCCTCATCCTACTTCTTCTTCTTCTTCTTCTTCTTCATCCTCATCCTACTTCTTCTTCTTCTTCTTCTTCATCCTCATCCTACTTCTTCTTCTTCTTCTTCATCCTCATCCTCATCCTCATCTCTTCTTCTTCTTCTTCTTGCCATGGGCCCCTGTACCGCCTCCTCATGCTGCTGCCAGGTCCAGAGTGTGTCATGGGTCCCTGTACGGCCTCCCATTGCTGCTGTCTCCATCGCCACACTCTGCCATGTGCCACTTTCAGGTCTCCTCACACTGCTGGTGGGTTCCATTTTGTCATAGGGTGCTGTATGGCCTCCCATTGCTGCTGCCTCCACCGCCACACTGTGGCTCCACACTCTGGTTTTGGCCCCGTGACTGCCCAAATGAGTGAAGTGTGCGGTGATTCTAAGATCGACGGCACTCATCTGCATGTCATACTGACTGACAGTATTATTTCTCTTCCCCAGCAGACTCCAAGGGCATTTCAATTAAAGGTACAGTGTTCTGCACTAATATAAAGGATCTCTGAAGCCTAGAAACACCCTTTTTATAAGTTAAATTCGGAGTGAATAAATTCGCATCGAATCGAATTTATTCCACAAATTCGGCGAATCAGCCGAATCGAATTTTTGAATAATTCGCTCATCTCTACTCACTAGTTTTCTAGAACGGTTCACAACATACTGAGCATACCTCTCATGTAAATAAATTAAGGACGTATAGGTTCCCCGGCCACTAGGTGGGGAACCTTCTCTTCTCTCTTAACTCTTCTTTCCACATATTGTTTTTCCCAAATGTGAATCGAACAAGGTTGATCATCACATATTATTTTTTATTTTTTCTTCTTTGTATGTTGAAATTTCAATAAAAATATTTGAATATAAAAATAATTCCATTGACATCCATGTCCCAGCATGGCAGACGTACATTAGAACTCGGGTTTAGTGTGAAATAAAAATTTTTTTTATTTCCCTGAAATTTCAGCAAAAAATAGGAGATTTTGTTGAAATTTAGCAATTGTGACTAAGAGCCGAAACACACTTTTTGACAGTGGTGCTTTGTGATAACAATTCAATAATACGGGCATTACTGCAAATCATGATGAATGTTGTCATTCTTTCTCACCAACACTGGCTTGTGGATGGACTTCAAAGGCTGTATTTCTACAGCTTCTATATGCACTATACTGACAAAAGTATTGGCCCCGCCCTCCAAATCATGTGATTCAGGTGTTCCAATCCCCTCCATGGACACAGGTGTATACAATCAAGCCCCTAGGCATGCAGACTGCTTCTACAAACATTGGTGAAAGAATGGGTCGCTCTCAGGAGCTCAGTGACTCCAAGCGTGGTCCCGTGATAGGTGGTCACCTGGGCAATAAGTCCATCCGTGACATTTCCTGGCTACTAAATATTCCACGCTCAACTGTTAGTGGGATTATAACAAAGTGGGAGCAACTGGGAACAACAGCAACTCAGCCACCAAGTGGTAGGCCACGTCACATGACAGAGCGGGGTCAGCGCATGCTGAAGCGCACAGTGCGCAGAAGTCGCCAATTGTCTGCAGAGTCAATAGTTAAAGACCTATAAACTTGGTGTGGCCTTCAGATGAGCCCAACAACAGTGTGTAGAGAGCTTCATGGAATGGGTTTCCATGGCCGAGCAGCTGCATCCAAGCCTTACATCACCAAGTGCAATGCAAAGCGTCGGATGCCGTGGTGTAAAGCACGCCACCACTGGACTCTAGAGCAGCGGAGACATGTTCTCTGGAGTGACCAATCACGTTTCTCTGTCTGGCAATCTAATGGACGTGTCAGACCTCAACCCGATAGAACACCTTTGGGATGAATTAGAGTGGAGACTGCAAGCCAGGCCTCCTCCCCCAACATCAGTGCCTGACCTCACAAATATGCTTCTGGAAGAATGGTCCAACCTTCCCATAGACACCCCTCCTAAACCTTGTGGACAGCCTTCCAGAAGATTTGAAGCTGTTATAGCTGCAAAGGGCGGGGCCAACTCCATATTGAACCCTACGGACTAAGACTGGGAGGCCATTAAAGTTCATGTGCGTGTAAAGGCAGGCAGCCCATACTTTTGGCAAAATAGTGTATGACAACTTCTGGATGTCACTGGTTCTTATGAAAGCCACAGGTGCTAGCACCAACTGCTTCCCTAGGAACCACTTACATCATGGTGAATCCCTGGCCCTTTACTGGAGTATGATGATCAGGTGTCCACAGACCATTGGACATATATGGGTAGGTATGATTTTTCGGTGTCCACATACCTTTAGACATATAGGTGGGTATGAAGATCAGGTGTCCTCAGACCTTTGGACATATAGGTGTGTATCTTGGTCAGGTGTCCTCAAACCTTTGAACATATAGGTAGGTATGATGCTTAGGTGTCCACATACCTTTATACATATAGGTAGATATGATGGTCAGGTGTCCACAGACCTTTGTATATATAGGTGTGTGTCTTGGTCAGGTGTCCACAGACCTTTTGACATATACGTGGGTATGATGGTAAGGTGTCCACAGACCTTTGGACGTATAGGTGTGTATCTTGGTCAGGTGTACACAAACCTTTGAACATAGAGGTAGATCTGATGGTAAGGTGTCCACAGAACTTTGGACATATAGGTGTGTATCTTGGTCAGGTGTCCTCAAACCTTGAATATATAGGTAGGTATGATGCTTAAGTGTCCACATACCTTTAGATATATAGGTAGATATGATGGTCAGGTGTCCACAGACCTTTGGACACATACGTGGGTATGATGGTAAGGTGTCCACAGAACTTTGTATATATAGGTGTGTGTCTTGGTCAGGTGTCCACAGACCTTTTGACATGTACGTGGGTATGATGGTAAGGTGTCCACAGACCTTTGGACATATAGGTGTGTATCTTGGTCAGGTGTCCTCAAACCTTTGAACATATAGGTAAGTATGATGGTCAGGTGTCCACATACCTTTGGACATATAGGTGGGTATGAAGATCAGGTGTCCTCAGACCTTTGCACATATAGGTGTGTATCTTGGTCAGGTGTACACAAACCTTTGAACATAGAGGTAGGTCTGATGGTAAGGTGTTAACAGAACTTTGGACATATAGGTGTGTATCTTGGTCAGGTGTCCTCAAACCTTTGAACATATAGGTAAGTATGATGGTCAGGTGTCCACATACCTTTGGACATATAGGTGGGTATGAAGATCAGGTGTCCTCAGACCTTTGGACATATAGGTGTGTATCTTGGTCAGGTGTACACAAACCTTTGAACATAGAGGTAGGTCTGATGGTAAGGTGTCCACAGAACTTTGGACATATAGGTGTGTATCTTGGTCAGGTGTCCTCAAACCTTTGAACATATAGGTAAGTATGATGGTCAGGTGTCCACATACCTTTGTACATATACATGGGTATGATGGAAAGGTGTCCACAGACCTTTGGACATATAGGTGGGTATCTTGGTCAAGTGTACACAAACCTTTGAACATAGAGGTAGGTCTGATGGTAAGGTGTCCACAGAACTTTGGACATATAGATGTGTATCTTAGTCAGGTGTTCTCAAACCTTTGAACATATAGGTAGGTATGATGCTTAGGTGTCCACATACCTTTAGACATATAGGTAGATATGATGATCAGATGTCCACAGACCTTTGGACACATATGTGGGTATGATGGTAAGCTGTCCACAGACCTTTGTATATTTAGGTGTGTGTCTTGGTCAGGTGTCCACAGACCTTTTGACATATACGTGGGTATGATGGTAAGGTGTCCATGGACCCTTAGAAATATAGGTGGGTATGATGGTCATGTGTCCACTGACCTTTGTACATATAGGTGTGTGTCTTAGTCAGGTGTCCACAGACATTAAGACATATAGATAGGTATAATGGTCATGTGTCCACAAACCTTTATACATATAGGTGGGTATGATAAGTTGTCCACAGACCTTTGGACATATACTGTAGGTAGGTATGATCATTGGGTATCCACAGACCTTTGGACGTATATAGGTGAATATGATGGTCACGCATCCACAGACGTTTGGACCAGGGGCGGACTGACAATCATGGGGCTCCCGGGCAATAGGGGATCATGGGGCCCCTGTGTCTTTGCCCAAACTCAAAAAAGCCTATGAAAAGGTACCAGGGGCATCTCATGGGGCCTCCCTCTGACCCCGGGCCCTCGGGCAGTGCCTGAGTTGCTAAATGGTCAGTTCGCCCCTGGTTTGGACCTATAGATGTGTACGATGGTCAGGTATTCACAAGCTTTTGTTCCTATTCTGGCCTTTCCCAACAAATGTGTGAATCCGGAATGATCATAGGTCACCTATCCGGCAGATATAAAAGGAAAATCATTTTATTCATATTTATAGCCTATTTAATAATTATTACTGTTTCATACAAGTCTGAACAATGTAATCTTGGTAACAAATACCGTGACATTATCTGACCATACTCCTTCCATAATCATAAATATATAGTTATTAGGAAACATTGTGTGAACATTCACTTATCTTATCGTGTTTCTAGTTATTATTTAATAGACTAATCAGTTAACAACATGATTAATCGTTCTTAGAATATACAGGCCGCTGACATTTTTGTCAACATCCAGATAAACTTGTCTGACAAAAGCTATAAATATGATTATAGGGGATGGAAGAAAAATAATGAAGAAATCCATAAGGAAATGGGTTATGGCATGGATGTCCGATATTTTCTATTTTGAGAATTCAAACAAACCAATAAAAGGCCATATTAGGAAAAGAATTCTGTAGCTATGGGGCATGTAATTAATAAAAGATGGCAATAAAACACCTTTCGGATCAAGGGATAAAAATATACATTCAGTAGTATTCTGTTAATGTTTGTGTTCACCTGACCACCACACCTACCTTATGACCAAGGGTATGTAGACCCCCTTCCAACTAATTGAGTTAGTGTGTCCAGTGAAGAATCCTGTTAATGCTACAGCATACAAAGACATTTTAGACAACTGCGTACTTCCAACCTTGTGGTAACAGTTTGGGGAAGACGTACAGTATTATTGTTCCCGC